TTACAATTTCATACAATAACCAAATAAATTAAGAGAAATCCCACTTTTTCTCTGGATTAAGTTGGCTCGTGTTAGATACTAAGTAGTTCCTTTATAATATTACTTCTAAATGAAAGAAATACTTTGGAATATTATTTCCACAGGAAGAAATATTACAGTAATTGTTCTGAACAGAAGAGTATAGAAAATGTGTTCCAATAGGAACAAATAATACAGCATTGTTTAAAACAGTTTTTAGAAAAACTTCGGAAAAAAAATATGTTGACAAATATCGAACCAAAACAGTTCGTAGCCGAGGTACTTCAAACACCGTAGTTTCAATTGTTCTTCTATTTTGTGTCAACATCTGTCTCATAACATTAGTCGACTTCGTATATTTACCTTTGGATAATGGATGGAATGTTTTTTCCCGGTCATGTAACATGACTGATTTGGTATGTTTTACCTGATGTTTAAATGGAAAGCTCAGCAATCTTGATAATGTGTATATTTAGAATCATATAAGAGGACGCCTAAACTAAAGTTCGCAGGAAAATGCTGAATAACAAGTTTTTAAAAATCGTCAATGAATTAAAAGAAGTGATATGGTGATATAATGTGAACCCCTTTTTCCTTTTATTTTTGGACAGAGTTGTCCATCCCAAAACAGATTTGCCATATTATTTTATATTACAAAATTAGTTAGCCGCATGAAAACAATTAGCTGAAATCCTTCATTACACATTTTGAATACACGAAGTGTAATCGAAATCACAACTAAAGGTTGCCATTAGATAATTCTGGGAATTAGATAAAACAAATATGTTACGTAATGTATTTAGTCCATACAGAATGAACCTTTTGTAGTATTCAATGTATTAATTTCCATGATGGGCGTGCCCTGTGTTGATTTACTATAGATAAAGCTAACAGGTACTTTTGATACTGTGGTTTGCTTTTCTTTGTGATTTGCATGTGAGTATTTAGTTGCTCAGAAAAACTAAATTTCGTTTATCATTTGATTTGTTAATATATGAGATGTCTACATGTTAAAATGTTGTTTAGTAAAATTCAATTTACCATTAAATCCCCACCCAATGTAGAAATATTTAACAAATAGGAATTTTCAATTAGACATACAGATGCAATATAGAACTTGTTTTAGAATAAGTATTGAAAAAAGATGTGAAGTGAGCTATGGGGAATTATAACTTTCAACTTAAATTTCAACTATAATCAAAGTGAAATTAAAGAGAGGCAACAGATACCAATGGGATGTTTAAACTCATAAATCTAAAAACAAAAAGACAATACCATAGAAAAAACGAAATCGGGGAGAAGACCAACAACAGTATATAAAACCCAACAAAGAAAAACTAAAGACTGAGCAACACGGTAAAGAGTCTAATTCGGTAGGTCACATTTGAGGAAAAGAGGATGGGACAGTGGTTACGACAATTAAAAAATATCCGTCATCGTCGGTGAAATAGAAATTCCATAACGGTCAACTAACTTGTAATTGTTTTCAGTTGTAAGAAATACAATTTGAGAAATACATTTTGACAAAAGCTTTTTTCTATTTACAGGACAAATAATGACCTTTTGAAAAGATGGATACAGATTTGGCAGATTTTTTTCGATATTTAATAGTGACATTTCTTTATTTTTCTTAAAATGATCAAACGTTCTTACTGATATAAAAATACAACTAAACGATTTTCTCTGTCTTTTTTCGTGACTTTTCGGCTACGATCACTCAGTTCATTAAGTGTGAAATGGTTGGTACATTCTCCACTTAGGGTTGTGAGTAAGTAATGTAGATACATTGATCGTTAGTTATACTGAAATAGTCATGACTTACGAGTATTTTTGTTGTACTATTTTTTTTGGTGTAATTTGTCGGTATTAGTAAAGTCTTAATTTTGGTTTTAACTTGAGTGTTCCATGTTATGTAACTTTAGCAATTATCGTTTCTAATATTGTTCCAATTTTCATTCAGACTACATTGATGAACGTTTTTGTCGTATAGGCCGATGCATGTTTCGTCTACATCAGTATAGAAGTAAAGAGTTGTGGTCTGACTTCCAATAAGACAACTATCTACCAGAGACCAAATTATGATTAAAAAAAAACAATAGGTAACCGTTCTGGCTTTAACAGTACGCTAAACCCATACTGTATGTTATAAGACTAACCAATGACGCTCTAACAAGAAAAAGATAAGATTACCAAATGAATTATGATACCGATGTGGCCGAAATGTCACAGATGTTCTATATATTTTCGACCTGTGATTCAGAGAAATTTCTTCCCGTAATATATGTAGATTTCTTGTGTATGGAAAAACCTGTAAATATTCAATCACTTTTCGATAACTTGTGTAGGTCATTATGATTCTCTTAACATTTGTTACCTAAACATCTAAGACGAAAATTCAATTGCTGGTAACTTAAGTGTCACTACTCATCTATATTGATCCTTATGCAAAAAACGATATAACTGCTGACAAAATATGAATTATTTATTCCTTAAATTAAATAAATAATGTGAGTTATGTTAAGAAAGTCATTCTGTCGAATTGCAACTGGTGTTTCTGTAATTATTTTCATCAAGTACGCTCGAACCATAATTTTGGAAACCACGTATTTTATTTCGTTGAGTTGCTGGTTTATTTTCGAACACCGTGCATTCCCTTTTCTTAATCTATTTAGTCAATCCTGGAAAATTTTAATAGAATCTAGACATGCAAATTAGTACAACTGAGAAGACCATTAACTGCAAACTCAAACTGAATTCTATAAATGGACAAAAACCTAAAATGTTATCTACGAGAGAGAGAGATTCTCTACATGGGACAGGTACACGAACCAAACTATTTCGATTGGACCCCGAACAAGTTTTGCCACCTAAAACATTTACACGATATGTGTTTGGGACGATGCTCATTGTTTTATAAAGAATAATAAATAAATAAAAACAAATGTCGGTACAACGCGCACACAAAAAAGATATATGTTTACCTTGATATACTAGCCATGGTCTCGGTCAAATGGGACCATCAGTTGCAAGGAGACCACCCTAACATAACCAAAAATAGATATAAAAATAATGAGATGTGGTATGATTGTCAATGAGACAACGTTCTACCAAAGTTCAAATGAAGTGGATGTAAGCAATTATAGGCAACTGTGCGACCTTCAACAATGAGAAAAACCAATACCGTATAGTCGGCTATAAAAGGCCCCGACATGAAAAATTTGAAACAATTCAAATGAGGAAGCTAACGGCCTAATTTATAAAAAAAATATCAACTTACGAAAAACAAATATGACAGACATGAACGAAGGACAACCACTAAACTACAGGCTCATGACTTGGGACAGGCACATAAAGAATGCGACGAGGTTAAACATTTTTGCTAGCTCAAAACCCTGCCCTCAGCCTAGTACATTGGTGTTACAACACAACACAAAAAGAAAGTAAATAACAGATAAAAAGGCCATATCTCACCAGATCGATACAAAGCAGAAAAATAATTAACAAAAACGTAGACCGGACGTGGCAGGGTATTTATACATCCCGAATAACAACAACAACAAAAAAAGACACAAACTCGCAATTTATGAAAGCGAATAACATCTTATACGAAAAAAAATCATGTATCAACGACTAAAATATCAATCAGTACACATCTAGCATCCAATGGATTTAATGTTAAGACAGAAAAAACATGACCTTGTGCGATTTAAAAAATATAGGTATCGACAGATTGTAGTACCGTGAAAGTGTAATCTGTATAACAATAATATTTAGTATGGTTTTAATCTACTGATAACAAAATCAATATTTATTCAAATAAAAACAATATTCAAAGATCTAATAACAGTGTTGAATTGGTAAATTTTAGAATAAGTTTATTCAAAGGATTGATAATTTTACCCGGATTGTTGCTAATAAAAGGCCCCGATATGAAAAATGTGAAACAATTAAATTGAGAAAACTAATGGTATAATTTATGACAAAACAATTTCCGAAAAACAAATATGACAGACATGAACCAACGACTGCCAATTAACTCTCATTTTCCAGTGGCAGTCCTGAACATACATGAAATATTTTTCACTTGACGTTAAGCAACCATCAATCAATCAATTTGCTTCATATCATGACTTACTTGTAAAAATTGGAAGTCATCGTCGTTTGACAACTAAACTTTACGGATTATATATTCTTTAGATAATTTCATTGTTCTAATTTGAAATTTCGGTTTTCATGCAGCAACATACAACGGAACCCAGATATGGAGTACTAAATATTATCAATCTGTAGGTGCTATAGACAACATTTGTTTTATCTTTTACAAAAGATAGATATAAGAAGATGTGGTATGAGTGACAATGAGACAACTCTCCATCCAAGTCACAATTTGTAAAAGTAAACCATTATAGGTCAAAGTAAGGTCTTCAACACGGAGCCTTGGCTCACACCGAACAGCAACCCAAAAATGACTAGTGTAAAACTATTCAAACAGGAAAACCGTATGAATACCGTAAGGTCTATTTTATTGTTAAATGGCAAATTTTAATATATTAACCAAAATATATAAGACAAAAACCTTTCAATAACTTAATGAACTGACATTGTTATTTTAAAATTTCAAACATTATTGATAAGAACAAGACATTAATATGCTTCATACAGATAACAAGCTTTCTTAATCGTCCGTGAAGGCATCACTTTGACTATGAGATGAAGAACAGCAATAAAAGCTCTGTTCCTTTGCTTTTTGTGTTTTTTGCTGTGCATGTACTGATTATGGATGGATACCCCATACCTTGATATTGAATGGTTCCAGCTATTCTATTTTGGCCCTTTTGTTATTTTTGCTCTCGCAATGTATTATATTTTGGCTTTCCGAAATTGTGGTCTCCAGCGTACCTGGTAAAGAGGTAACATAGAAACACACGTTAGTTTTAATGATTCAGCACTTAAAAGTATTTAGTGAGCAAGAATAGATAAAAGAAAGTGAAAATGATTTTATTGAATTTTTATATCAATACAAGAACTTTTAAACATGTGAAAAAGAAGTGGAAAATTAAGTTACTAAATAAATGTTTGAAAAATTTCTACCAAATCTGTTGCCTAGCATTTCGAAAATTTGGCTTCATCCTGTAAATAGAAAACATGAACACCTATTTATCAATGAAAATGTAGATTGAAAAGTCCTATTGTATCTCATTGCATTTAACAAAGCTATAACAAATGAATACTGCTGAACTGTCGTGTGGTATGTTGTATCACAAAATGCATATATTTTCTTTCCACTATGTTTATGTATCTGTCTGCACTAGATCCGCATTTCGACAAATCACGGCTACAGTACAACTGATATATGTAATCCAAACAGTTCTTTAAAAATTTCAAAGAGAATAAGTAAAATAATCATAAAAATCGAAGTTAAAAGACCAGCGGACTGAATTCAGTTTGAATACTTAATTCACAACTTATTACTGACTATCGGTACTGAAGATTCAGTAGGTAACAAAGATCAACATATGTAAAGATTGCAACATTTGTTTATATTGCAATGGCAATCAGAAACGCAGCCAAAAATATAATGTGCATGATAGCAAAATCCACAGTTTTTTAAAAGAGACGGGGAACACAGATTGTATAATACACACCCTTTAACCGGCAATTAGTACGGAAATGCAATCGGCAGGAAGGGCCCGAAGGATGTTTATCGGCATAACAGGTAAGTTATAAATATTCTTTACAATTTGACGATGGTTTTTAAATTAAAAAATCTTCCAATGATCGCAAATCTTCTAAATTTTCGATACTTCCTTACACTCTGCTGGTGCATTGCTAGTCCCCGGAGGTATCACCAGCACCAGTAGTCAGGTCTTCGATACTGCCATGAACATACAGATATTATGCTTTTGACATTTTTGAAATCATTTTAGAGATTAAGGATATGTCTACCTCATGCAAAACTTTGATTTCTTGCCTGGCTAGGTCTATACTATTTGTCCTTTTTGGGTTTTATCAGCTCTTCAATTATTGAATAAATTTAGAATTTTCAAATATTTTGGTCACGAGGATTACTGAAGAGGCATTTATTGTCCAAATGCGCATGCATCTGATGTAGTCAAATTGGTACCGTTAATGTTATTAGCAGCTATCGTAATAATGAAACTGAATTTAAAATGGTAAGTTCAATAATTAAGAAAGCGTAAAACATTTGGGAAATTTAGTCCAACCTATTTAGAAATAAACAATGTAACTAATACCTTACAATATTGAACTAGATGGATTAATCAGGAATAAAACAGTCGTTTATTAGATATTTTCTGTTTCAATTTTCTTTTATCCTTATGCAGTAGTTTTTAGCAATAACAATTCGAGAATATTCATTCGAAAGCATTGCAGATATTTTCGTTGCTTTTTGAATGCATTATAACTTGTTTTAAATATGCTTACCTTGTTTTACTTCCCCACATTAGTCATTATATTTACAACCACTGGTTCAGGACCTGAAATGCAATAAAGTAAAACGTATCATTCCAGGTGCAATTTAAAAACAATATAAAATAATTAGGAGACGTGGAATCAATGCCAACGATACACTATCAAAGAGACAAAAGGAGGAAGATGTAAGCAACGAAAGGTAAACGTACGCTCTTTAACCATGAGCAAGACCGTTACCACATAGAATATTATAAAAGGCTTCGACACGACAACGACCTGAAACAATTTAAACGAAAATGAAATCAACGGCTTTTTCATTTCTTAATTAGTCCCCTATCAACGAAGTAGAAGGTTTGTCTGTCTGTCTGTCTGTCTGTCTGTCTGTCTGTCTGTCCATCCGTCAGTCCGGCAAATAAGTTTTCCACACTTTTTTTCGTCATGCTTGAAGATATTGATTTGATATTTAATGTATTGTTTTATCATGACAAGTTACAGATCAAGTTCGAATTTTGTTTCGGTCTGATGATTTTGTGTAGAGTTATGGTCCTTGGACTTAGAAAAATCACTAATATAACCAGTTTTCCGCACTTTTTTTTGTCATTCTTGAAGATATTGATTTGATAATTGGTATATAATTTTTTCATGACAAGTTACAGATCAAGTTTGAATTTTGTTTCGGTCTGATGATTTTATGCAGAGTAATGGTCATTGGACCTTGAAAAATCACTGAAATAATGTTTCCGCACTTTTTTTCGCCATGCATGCTTAAATATATTGTTTTGAAAATTAGTATATTATTATCATGACAAGTTACAGATCAAAGTTTGAATTTTGTTCCGGTCTAATGATTTTGTGCAGAGTTTTGGTCCTTGGAAATAGAAAATTCACTTAAATAATCAGTTTTTTCAACACTTTTTTCGTCATGCTTGAAGATATTGACTTGATATTTGTTATATAGTTAACACCATGCCAAGGTATAGATCAAGTAAGAATTTTGTTCCAATATTAATACAATGAATTTTTAACCGGTAGGGGACTATGTATTGCCATGCAATACTCGCAGAATGCTTGTTCATAACAACTTAACAAAGTTTATTTGTTTAATCACCTTTAGAAAATTCGTTATCTCGAATAATGACATACATGAGGGTCCGGATGCGGTTTTCAGAATATAGAATAATGGGCAAAACATGCAGAATAATGGGCAAAAAAAAAGAGAAAAATGGACAAAAAAAAAGTATACAGATTAATGGGGCGCTAAAATATAAAGAATAGAGATTAATGGGCCAAATTTATAAAGAATAGAGAAAAATATGTTTAAAATTAAAGAATACAGAAATGAAGGACCACCCATCCAGACCCTCATATATGCAAAGTGAAATAAATGAAAAATAGCTTACCAAAATCGTCATTTCCAGAAGGTGCACTACTTTCTGGTTTTCCAGATTTGCCACTTTTGTCTGTTTTTTCACCTGATCCACCTTTGTCTAATGAATTGCCTTTACCATGTCCAGACATAACTGATCTGTTTCTTGCTAATTAGTAACTATATGATATCCAAAAAAACATAATGATATAAAAACAAAACTAGGACATTACCATTTAACGTAGTCTGCATTATGTTTTGAAAAGTAAAAGATAAAAACTTTAGCTAGAAGCTTAAAGGTTACTTCTAAATAGTTAGCTGTACAACAATAACCTTTTATTTAATTTGTGCAAAAACTTGTATTTTCTATTTGTTTTATAATTATAAATCAATTGCTCTTGTTGAAATTAGCAAGACAATTAATATGTAAACATGTAATAATTTAACTAAACAAAAATGTGTCGTATTGTGCAGTACAATACTTGCATGAAAATTATGAAACACTTAATGTAAAAGGCTCTATTTCCTTAGCTTTAAAGGGAGCAAAAATGACATAACATACGCCAATCGTTGATATAAATATATTGACCAATACAAATGGTCCATACTTCTAAGTACAAATTGTTTAAAACTTTTCATTTCAGTATTAAATGACTTTTGTGAAATAATTACGATCTAATATGAAACATTATGCAATAATATAACTTAGGCCATACTCATTTAAGTTAGTATGTATTTTTTTTTTTTAAAGTAAAAAGAAAAATACGTTCGCTAGTAGTTTGAAGGCTCTTTGCAAATAAATAGCTTTTCAATTTAAATGCACAGTAACTATTGTTAAATTTGTTCTAAAACTCTTTTTTATATGTAAACATTCAATTACTTAACCAAATCAAATATTATATGAAAAATTGTGTCTTTCTATGCAAAGCATTACTTACATGTAAATTACAAAAACGCAATTTGAAAGACTCTGTTCCATGTTTGCTTTATATACAGTAAAAAAACGACACAGGACACGCCCATAATGTTAATACATACAGTGACGAACACAAAGTATCATATTTTTATGAACTAAGTCGTTTAATTTATTTTCTTGCAAATTAAATGTCTTCTTGGAAAAAAAATAGCGTGACATATTTTCTATTATTTGACATTATTCCGAGAATATATATATAAAGTCATGTTGCAAAATCTCTATCAACATTGTTTGTATGCAAGGCTCTACTGTACAATAATTTCTATTCTTCGGTTCATTGTTTTCATTTGTCTGACGAAACATGCATCTGCCGGACAAAATCAGAAGCCTAGTTTATTTGAGTTTTTTTTCAAACACTTAGTCTATGCCACTGCTGGTGGACGTTTCGTCCCCAGTCCCCGATGGTTTCACCAATCCGGTAGTTACCAGTCCTGTGCTGACATGAATTATCATTTAAACGTCAGTTTTTGTAAATAAGCTTTTCCTAAAACTCTTGGACAATTTTTATTTAGACCAACAAATCTGTCTACCACATCTCCTTATTTCATATAGACGTTATTGGATATGATTCTTATCCTTCACATTCTCAAGATTGTTTAACAAATCCTTTCTTTCTAGAATATCAAGATACTAAAACCAGATTCGTTAGAATGAGTGAATATAAATCAATGACAGTACGAAAGAAAAAAAGTAAAACAAAAATACCGAACTCCACACTATTACTGGTTATCGGTACGGCAGATACAATATGATCTGTGTTCCCGATTGCTATTCAACAAATTGTTTTTCCTATCGTGTATAGTGCAGAAGATTGTTGTATGCGTTTCCGATTGCCATTGACATTGGTCTTTTCAATCGTGTACCGAAGACCTATTTTTACTTTATCTAGAAAGTGTCTATACTTTGTACGGTATGTACTATCAACGACAACAACTTTTTGTCGACGTCATTGTCAAATTTAAAATTATCGATACTACACCTTTTTTATGGGCGTCTTTGTTAGATTAATTTGTATGTTTGGTTGAATTTTTTAGTCGGTTGTGTTGTATGTCTGATGTATGTTTTCATAGTTTTGGCCTGTGTTGTTTCAGATGCAAATTGCTTTATTTTTATTTCGGATGTTACTTAATGCACATTTATACAAAAACATAAATTGTTTGCAATATTTCATCATCAGTGCATTCAACGAGAATTTATAAGTGTAAATAAGATTTTGATTATAAATAATGGATATATATTCGTTAAAATGTCGAAAAATTATAAAAACTTTTTAGTTAGATTTTTGCCGGATTTAATTAGATTTCCGTCCCCTTGGTATTTTATCCTCTTTTTCTGAAAGTGACGCTTTGACATAGATGAAACTGTAAAGATGAAATTGGTCATACTTACCTTATTTTGTAAATAACTTCCCATATTATATCAGATGGCATAGAAATATCAGAATAGACGACGAAAATTTCTGAAATATAGCTAAACCTTATGTTTTGTTTTTAATTGATTGATATCTTTTTTCTCGAAACTAAATTAAAGTTTTAATGAGGAAGTCGAGTTTTTCTTCTAAGAAGTAATTCGATATTGTTTGGCCTTGGTTTAAATATATCTGAACGGAAATTTCAAGGTATCAGTAACAATAACGTTATTTTACATTATAACTTTCCACTGAAAAGTGTGTTAAACATTCACTGCCACAATTTATTTAAAAACAGTATGTTTTACTTTTCTTAAGATTTAAAGTAATAAATATCTTAAAAGTTTCAGAGATTGTACTGGTTAAAACGTCTAGTATCGAAAAATTACAAATACTGACATTCCCCTTTTCTATGAAAACATTTAAAAAAAATCTTAAATGAAATATTATCAAATAATTAAGGGAAGTAATAGCAAAAGAACAATGCATATATTGTTATCTTAAAAAATCATTTCAAACTCACAGTGAGGCCTTCAATTTGAAGTAAAATTTCGCATCCCACTGCATGTTCAATACGGAACCTGGTCAACAAATATATATATATATATATATATATATATTTATATATCACACGTATATAAATTGCAGTTTTTATCCAACGCAATCATAGGTTTGAACGTTGTTTTCAATTTAGACTTGTTTATCTTTAATAAAAAGATGCAATTATACATCTTTGTGAATACTCAAAATTTATCTTCTTTTTTTTTTGGCAAGTAATGTTATCAAAATATTTTTGAAGTGCGATGGTTATATGTTACACAGTAGATTATTTATAATTCACAAAATAAACTTATAGAGTTACTTGATTTTTTTAAATAAAAAATATTACTTTTTTTCTTTTCACTTACTGAATAATATGTTATTTTTGAAGTGCGATGGTTATATGTTACACAGTAGATTATCTATAATTCACAAAATAAACTTATAGAGTTACTTGATTGTTTTAAATAAAAAATATTACTTTTTTTCTTTTCACTTACTGAATAATATGTAATTTCAAAACCATGGACTTATTGAAATTGATATCCCCCCCCCTCCCCCAAACAAAAAACAAAAAAAACAGAAGATTCGAGTGGTGTATTGGTCGGTGGAAATGGATAACTTTAAGCTGTATAGATAGACAAATGACTGTGCCTGTTTTTTTTTGTTTTTTTTTTTTTGTTTTTTTTTTTATATTAAATGATTTTTAAACTTTTAACCGTGATAACTGAAATGTTTATAAAGCTCAAATGTCCATATAAAAAAGCGCAAATGTCCATTTAAACAAACGGAAATGTCCTATCGTATTTCTACGGCTACACAATATTTTTGATACATGAATATGTGTAAAAAAACTTTCAAGACTATAATATTTAAATACTGCAGAGTACTATTTAATTTCCGATACAAGCGCTTTGACATGGATGAAACCAAGGACGTATAACTGACATAAAATAAGTTCTTGGTGAAACGTAAAGAGAAGATATCGAATGTGAAAAAAGGTTGGAATTAGCTCGATGTAATTTATTTTCCATTCCGGTATATATAAATGCAGACCAATACTATATCGTGTTATTTCCGAGAAGAAAATAAAAATAAATTACCTCGGGCTAATTCCAACAGATAAGTATGAGAATATTTTCACTTCACCAATTTGACCATGGCAATGAGAGCAATTCAATTCTAAGAGTAGATTTTCATATCAACTTGACAAAAGTTATGTTTCTTTTGGCAGGTGGTGTTCACTTTTTGCCTTCCCACATACGACTGAATCAATTATCTGATCTGTAAATGTATCATTATATTACTTTCTGGTCTGTTTTTGTTCTGGTCGATGGTTAATTATTTTTAGGTAGCTATACTTCATCTTTTTGTTAAAGACATATTATTACTTTGTTTCCAATCAATTCAAACTAAAGTATTGGAATGCATAAGGTATTGCACAGGTCTTCAGAAAAGAGGTTAAATGTACTTCTCCCTTTAACTTGTAGTAAGATTATGATTGATGTCTCTGTTTTAAAATGAAAAAATAAGGAGCTAACTCGTAAGATATCAGACGCTTCAACAGGTAACAAGACATATAGTAAGATAAGATGGACTCTCGACAACGTAATAATTGTTTCTCCGGTTGCATACAACGAAATATAAAATATTGTTTTACTTAACCCTTTTGCTGCCAGAGGAACACAGTGTACACACTGGCTGTACCGGAGGCACACATATGTCCATATGTTTTATTTATGCAAGCTTCTTATCATTGTTGTATCTCTTTGAAATAAAATATCGAAGGTTAAACAGTTTATTATTTTTCTACAATGGGTCCACAATGTAACGCAATATTAGGACGTGACGTCATATATCGAATGACGTCACAGACTTCAAGCTGTCGTGTTTTCTGGCACATGAAATGTATTTTAAAATTGTGTTTCCTGTTTATGGTTTTTGCTCATAGCCTTTAGTTCTTCGACTAATCCACTTCGCAGAGTATTGTTGACAATGTTAAGGTTGCCGGTTATTATGTGGACACTTATATTTTACATTAATAGGGAACTTGAACAGGTGCAATCAGGTGTATTAGCATGAAGTCGTCAGTAAGGAAATTCTTTAAGACCTGTTTGTAAGTCAATTTAATTTTTGAAAAATAACCGATTGTTGAGTAAGGTTTTTTATTTTCTGACTTTTGTATACAAAATTGATTAACGAGTTTCGAACATCGGAATACTACCGTTGCTTCTAATTCACCATGATTGCAATAAATTCTCAATACAGGTTTGGTTTTAAAAATATCTGAGAAAGACACATCAGAATTTAACACGTACCTTTAAAAACTGTCATCTTTAGTCGGGATTTAAAAGATATTAACAATCTTCTCTTAATATACATGTATTTCAAAGGCAATGTCATTTCCAAAAAGCCCTGACAATAACACAGCTTGGAATTTTAGATTCACACATCATTATGTCGGTTTTGGAGATATTTAAGGAAATGGAAAATACATTGAAATAAAAACGACCCTTTGAGACTTACAAATTATAAACATTTATCTAAAATGACTCAAAAAATAAATCAAATTTAATGAAATGTTTTACATTTACCATATTTCATCAACATAGTCTTTAACAGGCATTTGTACGGGTTAAAAATATATTGAATGTGTGAATGTGAGTATAAAATGTAAGACTCTAATAACTAAATACTGCATAGTGTCGTTAAATTAATTTTTATTTAGATAGTATCGCTTTGAAATGGATTAAACAGAAATAGGTGATGTGGTATATTACTTCTTTTCTATACACGACATCCCATTCATTACGTTAGAAGGACTAATTTTTTGGAAAAAAAATCAACATTAATAATTGTTTAATTTTTCGGTTGACTGATATTTCTCCTAGAATGTGAATCAAAGTTTGAATTCCTTGAAGTAACCGAGATATTCTTCTCATAAGTCACACGACAGTTTTTGTCTTGACTTACATCCACCTGAAAGAAAAATATTAAAAAATCGCTAAAAATAAAACAATTTTATATTATACTTTTTCGTTTGATAGTGTAC